TTCCACTGAGCCATCTCCCCGTCCCACTAAAATTAATTTTTAAACAATTATTTTTTTAAAATTTTTGATACAATTAAAATAACACCCATCTCCACTTGTGTTGCAAACACAGAAGCCATTCTTCAGGCCACCTGCCCTGAGCACACCCATTGAAATAGGTACTGATGATCTGCATCTGCAGGACCTGCTGTGATTTCAAACTTTCCATTCCTAACTACATGGTTTGAGTTGTTTCAGTAAGGTTGGTGTAGTGGTTGATACACTGTGTCAACTTGGCTGGATGATTCCCTGGCTGCTTCCAGCTGGTGGGGGTCCCACCCTGGGGCACAACTGGTTCTGCCCTATGATACAGCTGCCCACCCTGGGGGTGTGGATTGGTTCCTTCCCAGAGCACAACCAGGGCCCGTCCTGGGGTGTGACTGGTTGCACCCTAGGGCACAATGGGCCCACCCCAGAGTGACTCAGCACAAAGAGACCCTATAAAGGCGCTGAGGAAGGAGTTGATGTCCCACTTCCCTGGAGGAACTTCAGTCTTCACATTCGGCTTGGACGTCATCGCCTGGCTAACAGCGCAGACCCCTCGGCCTCCGGCTTGGATTCTTCGCCTTCCATTGCAGACTTTTCAGCGTCTATCGCAGACTCATTAGCTGAAGGACAGAGACTTGCACAGAGCACTGCAGTGAGCTTCAGACCTTGGGACTCAATTCTTCAGTCTGGGGTGTGCAGGTGCCCTCTGCTCGCTTCATCTGACTCTGCAGCTGACTATCACAAGCCAATCTTGTTATTCCTTATACACTGTATATCTTGTGTTGCTACCTGTTCCTTACAGTATATTTGTTCCTCTAGGTTAAGGGTTTGCCTACTTTATTTCATCTCTCAAAGAACTGGGTCAATTCATTGATTCTTTGTATTGTTTTCCTGGACTTCACTGCACTGCTTCACTTACTGTGCTGCTCCTGCCTCAGCCCCTCAGGCCGGTGGCATTCCAGGCGCACCACGCCCACTTAGCACGCACTCTTCAGTGATACCTGTCCTGCAAGCTAGTGTTAGGACTTCCCTGGATGTTTGAGTCAAACATCAGCTTTTGTTTCTAAGAAGACACTTCACTAATCTAAACACATTCTGTTGTGAGAATCTCTGTATTGACCCAAATGGATGGGAAATGTGCAGATGAAAACAGTAGAAACCTATCTGTCTACATAAGACCTTTCCACGAGTTTTTGTTCTGTTGTGTTCTGAGACAGGGTCTTACTACGTAGCCCAAGCTCGCTTGAATTTGTGGAGCTCCTCCTGTCTCAGCTTCCTGATTGTTGGGATTATCAGGTTATAGGTTTGTGCCACCATATGTAGCTTTTCAGGGGCCTGCCCCTTAGCTCAGTTCTTTAAGTGGCTGCTTCAACAAAGCAGTCAGGCTCAGGTTGCTGCGGTTCGATCCCCACAACTCAAGCCAGCCAAACCTGCCCTGAAGGCATTTGGAGCCTGCCCCCCCCAAAAAAACCCAAACAAACAAACAAACAAAAAAACCCTTCTACCATGTGTAGCTTTTCATAGTTTAAAATCTGTCCAAGCTGGGTGTGGTGGTGCATGCCTGTAATCCCAGCACTTGGGAGGCTGAGGCAGGACTGCTGGGAGCTCAGGAGCAGTCTGGGCTACAAAGTGAGCCCAAGGCCAGCCTGAGCTGCACAGGGAGACCCTGTCTCAAGAAGGCAAAAAACAAAAACAAAACACCTGTCCACAACAAAGCATTCTGATAAACATTTGTTCCCCAAAGATACATAAGTGGACAGCAGGGGTGTTTAACGTGAGCACTCACTGGGGACAGGCAGGGACGTCCCCACAAGGCACTACTTACCTGCTGTTTGACAGCCACCACTCACCACACGGCCCACCAGCACCACTCTGTGCCAGACTCCAGGAAACAAACACAGAACTCAGACATGTTTAGGCAGCTAAAAGCTGGAATCAGCTGGCGTTCATCACCAGTGGAACAGGTAAGGTGCTGCACGTATGCAGCGAAATATTGCTCAGTGATAAAAAGGAGAGAGATTCTGGCTCCTGCTACACACAGATGAACCTAAACATTATACTAAGTGAAATATGCCAGACATAATTATTGAGACTGTCCTACCAATTTGGTTTAAATATCTTTTTTCTTATAGAAGCTTTCTTTTTATTTTTATTTATGTATTTATTTTTGCGTGCGTGTGTGTGTGTGTGTGTGTGTGGCCAGCTCAGCCCACCAGGGGGCGGGGCTGGCTGGCATGTGGTGCTGGGGGATTGAACCGCGGTCCCTGTGCTTTGCTAAGCTTGTTCTAAGTAGGTGCTTTAGACCACTGAGCCATCTCCCCAGCCCGAACCTAAACATTATACTAAGTGAAATATGCCAGACATAATTATTGAGACTGTCCTACCAATTTGGTTTAAATATCTTTTTTCTTATAGAAGCTTTCTTTTTATTTTTATTTATGTATTTATTTTTGCGTGCGTGTGTGTGTGTGTGTGTGTGTGTGGCCAGCTCAGCCCACCAGGGGGCGGGGCTGGCTGGCATGTGGTGCTGGGGGATTGAACCGCCGTCCCTGTGCTTTGCTAAGTTTGTTCTAAGTAGGTGCTTTAGACCACTGAGCCATCTCACCAGCCCCCCAATTTGGTTTAAAACTGTCTCATTGCTATTTGTTTCTCAATAAAATTATGGAAAAAAGATTTTTAAAAAAGAAATACGCCAGACAAAAAGGCTAAATATTGCTAATGTATGTATGTATGTATGTATGTATTTTTGAGACAGGTTCTCACTATAGTTCAAGACTGGCTTTAAGCTCACTATGTAGCCTAGGCTGGCGACCAAACTCATGGTGATCCTGCTGCCTCAGCCCCCCAAATTCTGGGATTACAGACACGCATCACCTTGCCCAGCCGCATGCTGCTGTTTATGTGAAGCAGCTGTAACAGGTGAATTTACAGGAGCAGAGAAGAGGTTACAGGGACCAAAGGGAGGAAGAATGCGGAGGTACTGCTTGAAGGTGACAGAGCTACTATTTGGGGTAAAGTCTTGGAAGTTGTGGTGATTGCTGCCCAACTTTACGAATGTAATCAGCACCGGTGAACTACACGCTTAAAATCAAAACAACAGCAGACTTCATGATATATGTCATGTAAAGCCCAAAGAATTTTTAAAGTTCAAACTCCGGTCACAAGGGACCACCTACTGGTCCTTGACCATAAGGCTTAAGTCACCCTTATCTTGGAACCCAGGTGGAGTCATAAAGCCTCAGGCCTGGCTTAGGTAAACATTTAATCTCCAACCTGGGTTCATCCTTGTGAAATAGGACACCTTACATAGATAAACCCACCAGCTCTCTGAATGCAGCTGAAACTACAGAAGTTAACTATTTAGTTGCCCTGTAGCCTGCCCCTCTTTAGTTTCCTCGAAAGGTCATATATCCTCAAACCCACCAATTATTTTAAGAACCAACCCAAACTAACCAATGCCATTTGCTTCTGTAACCCTGCTTGCTAAAATCCCTCCTCCCTTTGTCTCTGGACTTTAAAAACACAGCCCACGGTCAGCTCAGCGCGCTCTGTTCCTGCGTGTTCAGGCCGCCCTGCGTGCACGTAGACAATAAAGCTTGCCCTTTGTGATTTACATGAGAGATCGACTCTTGGGGCCTTCCTTCGCGGCGACTCGACCCTTACAGTCACAATTTAGAAACTAATAATGCGATACACCAAATACCACTGGGCCGTATGCTTTAAATGGGCCGGTTCTTTGCATGTGAATTGTAATGCCAAAAAGCTATTTGAAAATACCTCCCCATAAACTGTCAAAAATGCATACCTTTTTAAGTGAAAAATAATTATTTTTGGTGCTTTGGAAATGCCGGCCCTCACAGCTGTTTCCTGCTTGGTTTCACAAAAGGAACAATGGATCTGGTTGCTCCAGGTCAGCGTATCTCGCTGGCAAAAGCACTGCAGACAGTCCTGTGGGAGGAAGCACGGGGCTGTCCTGGAACATGGGCAGCAGGGCTGCTGGTATCAGAATTCAGAAGCACATCGCAGTGTGCTCCCCAGAACTTTTCTCAGAGCCAGCAGGTCCAGGAGAAGACCAAGTGGTAGCAAGCTACAGCCCAGACAGCTGTAAAATCTACCAGCAAAGGTACTGGGAATATGGCTTTCTCAGTTACTGAGATGAACGTGAGCATTCACTTCTTTTAACATCCAGCTGCTGGACATTTTTGGCTTATTTCAGAATAATACAGACTTCGCAGTTTCCACTAATGAAGCCAGGTTGCTCCTTGATGGCCTCATCTCCTCACCGACATGACCTAGTGGCAGGAGGGACCACGTCTCTGGCTTTGGGGTGGCTGCCCATAAAACAGCTTCAGAGCAGAAAGCTATAGTGCTTTTTCCTCAAGATGGCCAGGTCCCTGGTTCCCTAGAGGGAAGTGGGCACAGATTCTGTTTTCAATAGATTTGGCTAGCACCTCATTTAGAGAATATATGGGGAACTAAGGCTGCGATTCACTGGTACAGTGTTTGTGCAGCATCAGCAAGGCCCTGTGTCCACATCCCAGCTTGCGGGGGAGAGGAGCTCATAGTAACTTTTCACTAAGGTGCTGCTTTTCAAAACAAATGCTCTTATCACAGGTGGTTGTCCTCCTCCTCCTCCTCCTCCCTGCCCCTCCCCCACTTCTCCATCATAAAGCAAATGATTAAACTGAATTGTTAACGTGAGTGGCTCGAGAGCCCGGAGCACATGTGGAAGGGCGTGTGGAAGGGCGTCCCAGAAGCGTGGCCTTGGGCTCGTATCTGGTCCCCAGCCCTTTATCTTCAGCGCCATCCCTCTGCTGTTGTCCGGCCACCAGGAAACAAGCAGGCTTGCTCCACAACACCCTCCCACTGTGCTGTTTGTGCATTACAGTCAGCTGGTCGTGGCTGGAACCCTTTGAAACCAGGAGCGAAATTATAGTTCTCCATTCAGCTGTGCATGTCAGGTGCTTGGTGTCAGCTGCTGTGACTATACTTGACTGTATGGTGCACAACTGCTTGGAACTAGTACACGGGAGGAATTGGAAAGATTTAGAAATGCAGGGCCACAGAAGCCCTAGAATGCTGTAAGCACAGCCTGATGATTCTGGTAAGAGCTCAGAAGACCAGGATTCTGATAAAAATGCAGACAGTAAAGGCCGAAGGAGGCTCCACTAGGAATAGGACTAGAGACTACACATGTGACACTCTGGCAAAGTTTGTCTTTGTTTTACCCACATCCTGAGACTTTGAAAAAAACTGGTTGATCTGGTGGAGAAAATTTCAAGTGAGCCCAACATCCAACATCCAGTACAGCATGGATACTGGATACTGCTGCTTGCTTTGATCCAGATTTATAATGAAAATTGGAAGCAAAATGCAAAGCAGAAGGATCTGAAAAATTTTGGCCTGAAAGGAACCACACATAAAACTAGAACTAAAGGATACATGGCTGTTGAAAAGATTTATCACCACTATAAAGAAACAAGGTAGGGGCTGGGAAGATGGCTCAGCAGAGTAAGTGCTTGCCTGGCAAGCACAGGGGTTTGAGTTCAATCCCTGGTTCCACCAAAAAAGAAAGAGAAACAAGGTGATTTGAATGAGGGGCAAGAATGATGCCCCCCGAAGGACAGCTCAGAAATCAGCAAGATACACTCATCCATCACCACCACAAAGGTGCAAACCATATACCTTTCATTGACAACAGAGTTCCGGTGGGGGCCCCTCCCCCCACTTCATCCAGGCACGTGCTGCCAAGGCCCGAGGAGGCTTGGCTGCTGCGTGCGCTACTTTAACAGGTACACAGGATGTAAAAGTTGTACAGGAATGGAGGTGTCACCAAGATATTTAAAGGAAAGAGTGCGGAGAGGGAAGTACGTGAAGTGAGAATGAAGCCAGACGCGCACAGATCCCAGAGGCTACAGATAACAGTGTCTACTGGGGATAGTGGAAGGGTTGAGTGCAGCCAACCTAATAAAGGGACCATGTGGGTGTAAGAAGCAAAGCCACAAGGATGGGGACCCCTGAGTCCATGGGAGCTCGTGTGTCGCCACCATGTGTCCAGGATGGACAGAGCTAGGACTCAGTAAGTTCTGTGCTCGGTTTGGTCTTGTGTGGGTTCAATTCTTTTATAGACCTCTAGTCTTCATTTTTATAATGGAAACGTTTATGCTTTTTCATCGTATCTTGAGATTAAGTCATTTGTGTTTCAACTTCCCATGAGGGTCACAGTCAAGAGTTTGCTTTAAGTCCCAGAAGAAACCTTGACTTGGGCTTCTGAGAAATGCAGAATGGTTGAGACTTTGGGAAAGGAATCAGCACATTTCTGGTTATATGCAGAATAGGTGCATCATGTTAAGTGAAGCTGTGACTGTGATTGTCTTCGTTTGCAGACTATGGCTTTAGAAGATGTGTTTGGGTGTCTAGTTGACAGGTTGAAATGTGACAGTTAAGCTTAATCATCCAGGTAACTGGCTTCAGAGCACACTCTGGCTATGTCTAGGTGGTCATGGGTGTGACGGATGTGGGCTCTGACCCTTCCTTTTCTTTCCTTTTTTTTTTTTTGGCGGAACCGGGGATTGAACTCAGACCCTTGCGCTTGCCAGGCAAGTGCTTATTCCACTGAGCCATCTCCCCAGCCCCTGGCCCTTCTTCTAGGCTGTTCTCTGCTCTGCTCCTGCCCACCACCAAGCGAGCAGCTTTCCCCAACATGCCCTTCCACCGTGTTTCTACGTGGTCTGAGCCCCCTGAAACTATAAGCCAAGTTACAGCTTTCCTGCTTTTAGCTGTGGATGTCAGGTGTTTTGTACCAACAAGAAAGCAAACTGTCTTCTTTCACCCTCACAGCTGAGACAAAATACCTCACACCCAAAGTCCAAGGGGGAAAGGGTTATTTAGCTCACAGTTGAGATTTGGTCCATAATTGGCTGGCTCCAAGGCAGAGAGGCCGTAACAGTTCCTAATGGCAGAAGACAGCAAAAACAAGGACAAACCTCTTTCCATCTTTTATAATGTACACAGGCTACCTATCTTAGGGCAGGTGTGGTACTTATACCTTCAATCCCAGCACTGGACCATGAATCAGTCACAAACTCTAGATTCAGTCACCTCTGAAAAGCCCTGCATGAGGCTTAGGGGGGACACATAGATACAAAGCCTAACACTAAACAATATACATTCCTTACTAAATATAGGAAAAAAAGCTCCAAGGAAATACAAGGATGAGGGTAAGCAAAACAAAAATATCCAAAGGTAGGCCCAGCGTAGTGGTATATACCTGTAATCCTAGCTATCTGGGAGGCTGAAGCAGGAAGAGCACAAATTTGATGCCAGCTTGGATAATTTATTGAGACTTTGTCTCAAAAAATCAAAGACAGGCCAGGGACATAGCTAGAGGCATAAGCGCCCTGCCTGGTCAGCACAAAGTTCTGAGTTCAATCCCCAGTACAAAAAAAAAAGAAAGTCAGAACATCTAGGATTCAGGAGTCCTACCTGAAGTGTGCACTCATATTCGGACGGGATAGGCAGGGAGAGAACAGTGAAGACTTCGTTCTTGAAGGTGCAATTCTCACACTTCAAACACATAATGCTGTAGTTGAGCTGTCCTTCAAAGAGCTGGGTGATGATGGATGTCTCACTGGAAGTCACCTTCCTGCAGCATTTTTGGGTAGATCTTTTCTCACATGACCTTCGATGGTACTAAACAAAGGGACAAATTCCCCCAAATTAGCTATAGGTTATCAAAAATGTTTTTGAAAACATTTTTTCCCATCAGATTGATACATGCCCTACAGAAACCACTTAGTTGTAGATTTAGGCAATGCGTAGCATAAGATCTTGGGTTTACATCATGCACGAGTTTTGATGACTATTTTCCTTTTGAGGGGAAGCTGAGCAATGGTGGCCCTAAACTCAGGTAAAATACAAACCCACGGCCACATAAGCTGACAGCCTGTCATCATGCCATACAGGGCCCCAGACCCAGTATTCCTGCTGCTGAAGGTTACCTTTTATCTCCTTTAATGTACAGAAAACACTTTGTTTTGGTTTTCTGAGAAATGGTTTCATTCTCTATGTAACCTAGGCTGGCCTCAAACTCACACTGAATCTTCGGCCTTAGGCTCTCAAGTGCTGGGATTACAAATGTGTGCCTTCACACCGCGCCAGAAAATATTTAAAATAAAACTAGGCAAACAAAAAATATCATGCTGGAAGTGAATCTTGTATTTTGTTTTTAATATAAATGGCCACCTGGTCCCTGGCATGGCTTCGGTTCCACTTTCTCTCAGGTGCATGGGCTGGCTGCCCCCCTGACGCTCGGTCTGCGAGCTATGTTTCAGACGAGGGTCAGCACAGACGCTGAGGGGACAGCAGTTTCATCTTCCACGCTGTGGTCTGAGGGTTGGATCTCTGGGTAAAGAGGCTACTTATCTTTGTAAACACAAAATGTTGGTTTCTCTATTTTTCTGGTAATGGTAAAATAATGGGAGTTAATGAAGTGTTACTTTTGAAACATTAAAAAAAAAGGCAAAAAAAGCAACTTATGTTATGACCTGGTGGCCTGGTGCGAGCCCAGCTTGTCCCGGAGAGGTCCCCAGGGCCCATGCCCTGTGGGAGGCGTCTTGGAGGTCAGGCCAAGTCAGTGCCAGCTGGCTCTGTCACCTCTGTCCCCAGCCCCCCATTTCTGTGTGGCCCCAGAGTGCCACCACTGTTTATTTCAGTCGCCTGCGAGTGAGGACGCTTGGTTTTCACGGAGCACCCACGCACGCCTTAAGCCTGGGCAGCACCAGTCCTCACCCAGCAGGCAAGACGGTCCTGCGGCCAGGCGACTGGGGCACGATGGGGATGTGGCACAAGGCCACAGATAAAGTCCAGGAAGTGTGGTTCTCGGCCCTGGGCCCAAGGCAGGCCTGGCGCGAGGGTGGTTCCTGGGTGCGGGAGACACAGGCCTGGGGCAGGCGTGCTGGGGCGAGGCCCGCATGCGCAGACACCATGGCAACTCAAGCTTTAGTCTCTTCTTATACTTTGGAGACAAGTGTCTTGTGTTCAACTGCAAGGAGAACCAGACTCCTGGTGTCACCTAGCCGGTGACTGCAAATGCCAGACTGGTAGATGCGGCTGTACGTCCAGACACAAGGCAGCTGCGCTCACGCCCCAGGCCTACCCAGCAGCAGACACCCGGCAGGCAACGCGGCGAGGCGAAGATGCACGGGGAGCGCTACTGGAGCGCTTCGGCCCGGAAGGGGGCTCACTGGAGTTATATGTAGGAAAACGGATGCACCTTGAGACCCTCACAGGAAGTGAAAGGAATCAGACACATCATCCTAATACCGCACGGTTTCTCCCAATCGAGGAACCCAAAGTAAAAATAAAACGCAAAATAAGACAGAAACAATTAACAGGGTCACGGGTCTTTTGCAAATGGAAGAGGAGGAGGCATAAAAGAAATTAAGCTGCGCCTTGCGCGCGGGACTTGGACTCGAGGCCTGGCTCACCTTCCTCAACGCCTCGTGCAGCGCGTTGAGCACGTACAGGAGGAACTCCTGCGCGTCCTGCTGCGTCCTCCTCGTGAAGGCGGGGTGCAGGCGGCCCAGCGCGGCCCAGAACTGCTCAGGGGACACGCAGTCGGGGTCGCCCAGCCACAGGTCTGTCAGCAAGTAGGCGAAGGCCGTAGCCACCTCCCTGCAATCCCTGGGCCAACAGGGGCAGGAGCGGGGAGTTTAGGGAGGAGAGGGAGGCTGAGGCTCCAGTCCCGGGCAACGCAGCCCCCAGCGCGGCCCCGCCCCGCCCTCGGCCCCGCCCCCGCCCCTGGACACGCCCCCGTACTTGCGCAGCGCGGTGACGTACTGTCCCGACCGGAAGTACTGCGCCAGTGGCGGCACGCTGGCCAGGCACTGCAGGACCGCATTCATGTAGCACGTGTTGCCCAGGTTGCGCAGTCCAGCCACGCCCGGAGGGTGCTGCGGCCGCACGGAGGCCTCGCGGGGAAGCGGGTCCGAGATGTCCGAGCACTCTGGGCTGCAGACGTACAGGGAGAGAGAGTGCTTTGAGGGCGCGGCCCTCCCTGGCCCAAGAAATGAGCCAGGCCCACCAGGGACGGTGGAGTAGAGCTCTGGGTCTATCGTGGTGCTCCCTCATGCCGGTGGGGCGGTGCGCGGGCTGAGGCAGGAGCATCGCTGCGAGTTTGAGGCCAGTCTGCATTGCATAGTGAGCGGTCTCAACACACCAAAAACTCAGAAACGTGTATTCTTCAGCCCAGAATGCTCAACAACTGCCCATCGCCAAACACTACCTGGATAAAAATTTCTTCCCGAAAGTGAAGCAACAGACTTGCAATATATTGGCTTTGCAAAGTCCAAAAATTGATTGGCCCCAAATACAAACTTTCAGATAAAAGCTAAAGTATTTGGGGGGGATAGTAGTTATCATTAGTAGTAATAATGGAGGACAGTTAATAATGAGAATAGTTATCATGCATTCAACACACATTTTTCTGTTAAAACTTTGCAAGATTGTATGGGACAAGAATTCTTTATAAATCCTCTTTTGTAGCCAGGATGATGTCAGGATTAAGTGGTTATTTGCCCATAATATGGCAAGGGGCAGGTGCAGAGGCGCGTGGAACAAAGGCGTCTACTGCCTATCTACTTACCTACCTGCCTACCTACCTATCACCAAAAACCAGGAGCTACGTGGGTTTGGACATCACAGAATGACTATATAGTGTGGGACATAATATACACGCACATCTGGAGAATGTGCATACCTATATTGAGAACAAGTACATTCATGTATGCACATACAAAACAGTAACATTCTCAGAGAAGGGGAGAAATAGTATAAACCATTAAAATATGGGTCCTAGTTTCTTTTGTTCCTGCTTTCATTTTCTATTGCTAGAGAAAGGGTCTCGATATGTGGGCCAGGCTGGCCTCGAACTCATAGCAAACCTCCCCTCTCGCCTCCTGAATGCCAGGTTACCAGCATGTCACCATGCCTGTCTAGGTTTTAGTGTAAATCCTGTCTCTTCCTGTGTAGTCACACAGAAGGAACTGGGCTGTACTCAGGGGTAGGGTGTGTGCCTGGGTTGTCCCCTCCCCAGCCCGCTGCCTTAAAGCTTTGTGTGGGTCCTACAAGTGCCAGGCAAAGACATTGGCAGAGACACTGGTCAATCCGGGGTCGTTCTCAAACATGGTGGTTCGCCTGATTTAGGACCTCAAGGGGAGCCAGGGAACCGGGCGCAGAGGCCACTGGGCAGTCCTGCATGGGCACGGGCGCAGGCGCTGTCCTTGGGCCTCCCTGCCCCACATGGCTTCCTCTACACTGCCTGGCAGTGACCTGCCCAGTGGTGCCGGCTGTCCCTAGGCGCCCTCCCCTGCGCTGCCGGGCCGGGGGCTCACAGCGTGAAGTAGAGGCCCGCAGTGCGGGCGTTGGCAGGGCGGCCCCGGCGGGGCGTCATGGCGCACGAGGCGGGTCTCAGCTCTGCTGCGGAGGCCTGGTGCAGGGCAGCCTCATCTCCAGCCCAGTGGCTCGTTCCGCGGCAGAGGCGTGCCTCCCGCCCGCTGCGGCAGCTGCAGCCACAGGACTCTCGGAGGCCTGCTCTGACCAAGGCCTGCAGGCGTCACAATCCCCCTCAGGGCTTCCAGCGGGTTGCCAGGAGACGCAGGCCACAGGCAGGCCACTGCAGGCCGGCTCAGCCGACTTCCCCCATCAGTCACTTTCCCCGCCCCGCCCACCTGTTTCCAAAGACTGCACTGACAGACATCTGTAAACAAGAATAAATTTATTTAATCTGTTTTAAAGATTTAATGATATACAAAATGTATATAGTATATCTTTAGTAATACACTTTTTCTCTCCCCATGTCAGTATTAAACACTATTTAAACAGCTTATTCTCTTGCTTTGTCTGTATCTATGAGATACACTACTGAATACAAATAAGCTTTAGCTGCTCCCTTCCAAATGAAAATGGTACCTAGGAAACAGAACAACATGAAAAGAAGCAGATGAAACATTTTCTTGAATATTCAGAAATAGGGGCAATTAAATTACATTTTATTGGTCTAAAGTTGCACTGCGGTCTCCAGACATCAATGATCCAACTCAATTTAGTCCTTAAATAAGTACCACAAACAACATCCACGTTCAGACAGCCCTACACAACCCTAAGTATAAGCAAGCGCTCGTATCCATGGTCTGACTGATATGCGTCCCTACAATCTTTGGGAAAGTAGCAGCTCGCAGTTTGGAGGTCGGCCCACGGGAGAAGGTCCGAGACTCCCAGGAGACGCCTCTCAGCAGGAGTTCAATTTTCCTCTCGCCATGACTTTCTTCTGCTTAACAAGTGATTTGATAAAACAAGGTTTAACAAAATAAAATCTGATACTTTGCACAATTTGAGCTCTTAACAAAAACGGGCCCTGCTTTTCCATTTGGAGCCTAACCCTGATTTGTAAGTCAAGGCCCTAGCAGAGAATGTGCCTCGCACAGGCCCCTGTGGTCACCTAGCTGGAGCCATCGGGAGACACCTCCTCTGCCAGTGCCAATGGCTCCAGCGGTGAGCGACAGCGACCTGAGCACACTCGGAAGACTTCAGACTGCCATGTAACCAAAGGCTGTGTCAGTTCTTCAATTCTCCTGCTGAGTGGCCAGGAACCAGCCGCCAGTAAGACGTGCACAGACATCGAGCTTTGGTTAATGGTATTGCACCATGTAAGAGGGACGCACGCCCTCATCAGATCTGCTTTTAAGGAGCCCTTTGAAAAGTTATAAATACTAATGTTCCATTACTTTCAAAATTTTCAGTTGTCAGCTATATCCTATAGGAAGTTTTTAACTGACAAGTCCGATTATGCCAAAACAGTATTGGCCTTTAAACCATGCTGGGGCCAGCAAATTCAGTATGTGTACACCTTTCTCCATTAACCATTTCCTCTTGAAGGCAGAGTGACACAAAAACGTGTTTGTAAGGTGTAGCAAAACCAATGATTCAGCAATATCACAGCATGAGACGAACAGAATTAGTTGACTCTGATTCTTTGGTAGAATTTCCAGGCTGAAGATTCAAATCTGAAGGCTCATCCTGAGGAAATACCATTTTATCGGGCGTATAGTCATTCCTCTTCAGATCTACATTCACCATCCCAAAACAAAAAGAATTTCTTAGAAAGAAGAATTAAGAACACTTTCTAAACCAATTTCATCTAAACATGCCACATCCATTTTTCATAAGCTGTTACATATGTAGTTAAGGGATATTTATTCATATAAAAAATAAAATCATCACTACAAACTGACCATCAACCAGTAAAGCCATGTACGCACGGAAATGCAGCAGTGAACAAGGACTCCAGCCGGAGAGAACACGCACAAGAAAACAGTCTCCTTCCCAGCAGGGCGACGCTCTGCAGGGGGCAGGCCACGCGCCCTGCATGAAGTGTGAGTCTTGCCAACAAGTCACCAGGGAGGTCACCTGGGAAGACCCTGAGCACACACCCCCAACACTGAGAGCGAACTGCCAGAGCCCCGCCAGAGCGCTGGAGGCCAGTGATGGTGAACCTGAACCCTTGCAAGCTTTAAATGGTAACAAACAGCTGGCTGCGAGGCATGCTGCGGGGTTGCCACCAGTGCTCTACATGCAGGGCAGGATGAAGCAGAGGTGGTATGCTCTCACAAAGGTTGGAAGACAGTGTGGCTTTGTGCAGCACATGAGAAGACTAGCAGAAAATGAGGTCAAGCAGCAGTAATGGCCAGGGACTAAAGCCACAGCTTATGGACCCAGCTGACCAGTGAGTGGGCTGTCTTGGTAAATAATTTTACCAGGATGCGCCCAAGCTCATGTCATTTGCACACTACGGTTATTTATGTACTGTTACAGAGTTAGGTAACTGAGACACAGACTATGTGACACACAAATCAGAAACTATTCATCATGTCAGGCGTCTCGGCACTCAGGAGGCAAAGGCAGAAGGACTGCTGCAAGTTCGAGGCCAGCATGGGCTACAAAGTGAGTTCAAGGTCAGCCTGAACTGCATAGCAAGAACCTGTCTCAAAAAGACCAAAAATAAAAATCTACCTTGCCCTTTACCAAAGTAAAGGGCATCCCCGAGTTCCAGGCCTGCGCTCAGTCACTGCTCCCATTTATGCGGGCTGTCTGTCTGCCCCCCCTCGCCCATGGGAGTCCCTGCCAACACTGCCCTACGCACACCTGCCTGACCTCCACAAGGCCAGGGAGAACACATCAGTCTGCTCACTACCCTACCTCCAAAACCTAGCTCAATTTCTGGCCTTCAGCAGACACACAACATATGAACAAGCTGAATGTTTCACAAGTACTGAGAGGAATCACACATGCTCTCTGAGCTGACACTGTGGAGACCATTAATCAAAGCCCTGTGCATCCAGCCTCCTGAGTGCTGCAATACCCAACACGATCAACACATTCTACATTGCACACATTAAGAAAATTATACCTGGAAGCTTAAGTTTTCGACAGCAAGAATTACAGTGATGCTTGGCTCTGAAGTTTTTTATTGCATCTTCTCCTAGATTTGCTGGGCCAAAAACCATATCACAGGATCTGTAGAAATTGGCCAAAAAAAAAAAAGTAGTTTATGCAAGGAGAAATACAAAAATTAAAATTATGAAAATATACTTTAATAAAATTGTTTAAATTTATTACCTCTTTTCTTCTGCTTTTATCACGGATGGGTCAGTCAAGTTTTCACCGACACCTTTATATGAACATAGAAAAGGATAACTTATATCACATAATTGCTATAGGCATTAACGTCTGCGTAATAGTTCTGAGATTCACAGCATCACGTACCACTGTAACATTCAATCATTCAAGGAACTTTTCCCTCTTGACATGTCCTAATTTGATTAGGACCAAGAGCCAAACGTCCTAGTGGAAACTCCTAAGGGTACCTAACTTATCAACACCACTCTGCTTGTAAAATGTCCTTAATACCACCCTTGATTCACCAAGAAGGACAACTTGATACATGAAGACACAATTCATAAGACATTTTGGGGAAAAAAAAAATTAACATGTGCCGCATTTTCTTTTTTCGGCGGAAGCGGGGATTGAACTCAGGCTCTTACACTTGCCAGGGAAGCGCTTATTCCACTCAGCCATCTCCCCGGTCCCTTGTGCCACATTTTCTTGCCAAAAAAATTCACAAATATTCGAGGCCCAGTCCCTGTGCCTGCCTAAGCAGGCACTTTAGTCTGCTGAACTATCTGGCTGGCCCTAGGATGTTCTTTATATATATCTATTGTTTAATTTTTGTCATAATCTAAGCCAGTCCTGTGGAAAAAAAAAAGGGCTTTATGCAAATAACTGTAATCACAGATGAACACTGGAGTCAGGAGTACCAAAACCTGCACAGCTAAAAATCTCTATGATGCTTTTCTTAAAAAATTAAGATTTT